AAAAAATATATCGGGCACCCGATTTTTATAAGGTGACCGATAGATCCCTGACATATTTATATTACACCTATCGGATATCTATCAGGCACCTATCGGATATCTATTGGTCCTCCCGATAGCTACCCGATTGGTTCCTGATATATGCCTGAAATATGGATTTCGACCTGTGGTAAAAGAGAGTTTGTTGACCAAAGGATGCAAGATCACCATTGAAGAATTAATAAAAGAGTTTGATTGTTATGGTCAATATAGACGGGGCTTATGTAAGCGTAAACTTTTATTTGTAGAACAGGTCTTATCATTTAATGGCCATAAACTATTACACTGGCAAGCTATCAAAGATAGTACGAGAAAGGGACCAAAGCTAGGATAATTTAAGCTTGTTAAAAGGATACTTTTATCAAATAATAATGATAAAAGTATCATCACCAGTAACAATTTCAACAATATAAAATACAAATATAATGCATGCAATTGAAATATTGATAAAAAAAGTAAAGAAATCAATTGGTTAGTAATACAAGATAATAGTACTTTACAACTAATATTGAAAAAGAAGAAAAAGGTTATAAATGAGAATGAATTTACCATGATTTATTATATAATGAGCTCTTACCAAATAGGTTAGAGAAATCACCACTTAGTAAATATAAAGGGTACGCTCATAGAGATGAATCACTATTAAAAAATTTTAAAAATAATAAGATATGCTTAATTAAAATGGATATGGCACAATCTGTTAATATTAACGTAATTAAAAGTCAAATTTTAATTAGAGATATATTCACAAGAGACAATAAAATTTGTTTGAGATCAGAAAATGAGGCCATTTTAGATGGACTTAATAATATTAAAAGTAATAAATTAAGTGTGATACAAAGTAATAGTAATGTACAAGTATTACGTCTCCCGAAAATACACATAAGAAATATAATAACTGAATTCTCACGTCTTTACTCAAAATACAATAATTTCTAAATGGATGAGACAATTCAGGAGAAATTAGATGAGATAAGGACAGTTATAAACAATCACAAGGAAATTGACATCTATACAGATGGTTCTTTAAGTATATCAACCAATAATAATGAAAAATCTTTGATAAGTTGTGAATGGGTTATTATAATTGAAGAATAAATTCAATACCAGTTTTGTGACCAGGTTAAAAATTTCACTTCATCTACTCGAGCTGAATTAATGGAAATACTTTCAGTAATATATGCTATACCAAGAAACACAAAATTGAACATCTATACTAATAGCTAAGCTTCAATAATAGCTATTAACAATGACCTAACAAATAAGAAGAAATTATTTCATAAAACTAAAAATTGGTAGTTAATTCAGTCAATTATTGAGCTAACACAGATACATAATATTAATTTATTTCTATATAAGGTACAGGCACATTCTGAAGTGACTTTTAATGAATGAGCAGACGAAATAGCTAAAAAGGAAATTCTTAAACCAACATGTACACCCAAAATTAAAAAACTAATGTTAGTTAATACAATTGGATGTTGAAAAAATATTAACATAGAGGTTCCCTTCTGCGGATTTATGAAAAAGTTAGGTACAACAAAATCTACAGTTAACTGGAGATTATTAAATAAGAATAGAAACTCAATATCTGATTATAAAAGTCAAAATATTAACTGGAAAATCATGTGGAATACAATAGCATTATTATATAAAGAAAAATCTGCAACAAATAACAAAGAAAATAGAGAAAGAGCTTTTAATATGAAATTGCTCAACAATGAATTACCTACAATAGAGCATATGTACAGTAGATTTTTAAAAATATATAAAAATAATAAATGCGTGTGATATAATGATAATATTACTGAAGACCAGCTACATGCATTCACATGCAATTCAAATTTAGTAAATATACAAATGTACAAAGATAAGTTTATAAATACTCTGATAGATCAATTTAGTAAGGTAACTAAAAAGAAAATAAAAACTGATAAACTCAAAGATGAAATTTATGGGTTAAGTGAACTAAAGTAGTTTGAAGATGAAAAGAATCATGACAAAAACGAATTATCATTTCTTGACATTATTATTGGACGTATTCCCAATTCATTATACAATACTATATCATCACAAACACAAAATAAAAGAGAAGTATTCAAAATTTTTGAAGAGACAATGGTAATTTTCAAGGAATATATAAGAACAAATATTTGGAATTA